CAAACAAACCTGAAATGGGTAGTTTCAGAAATGGAGGTAACGGTTTCTCTGAAAGCAAGGAATATGATTATTTAATTCAATTTTTAAAATGTCCAAAATAAGAGAATAAAAGCTCCTAAAGAGTGTTCTTAGCAACTTTGTAATGTGCACCAACTAAAGTCAGTTTTCAGTATTAAAATGGACCAATGTCTCTTTGAGTTCAGTGATTAGTTACTATATGAGAAACAGGAAACAAAAAGTAAGAAAGCTGAAAAACTATTAAACTCTTTTTGTCATAGTTCTTCCATTATAAAGCTGATTACTAATCATCCAATGATACAAAATTCTAGAAACTTTACAAAGTTGCTTTTTAAAATTTATTTTTTGTTATCAAAGAGAATGTCCAGAAACATCGCGTACTAAAGAATTTGTTCATGGCATTGTTTTACAAAAGTTTCTAATGGTGAGTGAATATTTTATTTTCTGATGTATCTTTCACTTATTAATGATGAGGTGGATGAACTGATGCAATTACTTAAAAAAAAAAAAAATCCAGACAACCTTATAAAGGAAAAAAATTCCATTCTCATTTTGCATTTGTTGGTGGGAATAAATTCAGTGGTCACAATACCACCACTGACTAAGAATCAACTTCCCCACAGTAGGGAGCTGTTCTGGACTTCTCAATAGGTCACAAAGGTCTCTCAGATATAGGCACCATGTTTGAAGTCTCACACAAAATGTCTGTGTCACTTAAATTACACAATGTGGCAGTGTTTTTTTCATGGGGACATAATATTGAAAGAAGGGGCAAAGTAGAAAACAACCTGTTTGCATGTTATATGTGAGTACATTATTGTACTGTGTATGGATTTGAGGGCACTGCAGCCCTTGTTAAAGAGGAATTCCACCAACTGAAGCCTCTGCTGCTCTTGGTGCTGAAGGTGTCTACCCATTGAACCACACGTTGTTAGGTCAGGACCTTCTTCATCTACTGTTTGGCTCAAATGGTTTCAACTGAGTTTGGTTGTCCATCTCTTCCATTTGAACTTTATTTCTCAGCCTCAGGATATGTAGGGTACTTGACAGTTTCTATCTTCTCTCGGACTTTGTAGGAGGGATATAGGCCCGTCCTTCCCAGTTTTCTGTTGACACCTTTAGAATAGCCATCCCAGTGATTTCCAGCCACACCAATAATATCTCCAGGTTCCATGGGGATTTCATCAGAAGTTCGAGGTTCATGAGGATAAATGGCAATTTGGTTGTGGGCATTTTGGCCCCCAAAATAGTAGATATCATCTAAAGAATGGAAGTTTGCAGAGGCATCAGGGTGCAGTGTTTGCATGATTTCATAAGCAACTCGACAGACCTTGGGAAAGAATAAAAAAAGTTGTTAGTACATAAAAGCTCTCCTTCAAAGCAATCTAAACGCCCTTGGCCAAAGAGATGGGCTCCAGGACTGAAAGGCTGAGAAAAGTGGATTCCAGTCACAAGCTTCCAGTCCATTTGCTCTCAGAAGATGGTATAAGTCATTCTTCATCTCTGTGCTTAGATTTTTTTTTTTAAACCCATCAAAGATTATTACAATGAAAATCTCTCTCTTTGAATAGTACAAAATACTTGAAGAACATGAATCAGTTAATTTTAACAAACATTTATTAAAAGCCACAAAGTGGTCCAAGCTGGGCATTGGTAATACAAAAATGAGTAAGACACAGATTGTGCCCTTGAAGAATTTGAGGTTTAGGATTAGGATTGTAAATGTTTAACACAAATGCTCTTGGTTCCTTTCCTTCATTCACTGTTAATCAATCATGTGCTCTTTTCTGCTAATTTAGAAGTTGGACTCAGAACTCTTCTCAAGAGAGATGCATGTAATTACTCATAATCAACTAGTACTGGCAAGTGAGCTAAAGCATATCTGCCATTTTTGTTCTAAAAAGTTTTAAGTATGCTGAGTAGATAGTATGCTTGGACTACTGACATAAGCTGGGCTAATCTTTGTGGAAGATGCACCTACCTGACTAGTGTAGTCTTAAAGCTATTTAAAAGATCCTTCTGTCCAAAGAATATCTCCTGGGTCCACCAGACAGCAGGTGCAATTCCACAATATGAGCTTCATTCCTTGAGCTTAATGTTTGGTGATGAAGTTAAACTATAACTATCTCCACAGAAGGATAACATTTTAAGCAATTAATAGATTCATTATAGAGTAAATGGGTTTCAGAAACTTTTTTAAGAATAGGTGAAGACAGAGAATATTATTTTGCTTAAAAAATGTTTCCTTTATCATTGTGAACAGAGAACTTGACTCATTAAATATTCCTAAATCTCCAGTTGTGGTCATCTCAGTTAATGAAGTTTTATTGTTACTACATCAATATTTTTACATTTATTTAAAAATGATACAACTAATAGTAATTGTTAATCTGATCAGTGGAGCAATTTAGGATTACATGGCAGTCTTTTAAAACCATGGAGTTTATGAAGATCAAAAACTGAAAGGAGATGCTTATTGTTGACTCTTATGGTCAAATGGAATCTGATTAGGTTAATGGTCACCTCAACTTCTTAGAGAAGCTGAATTACAGGAACATGAGGGGCAATTCTCAAATGTTATATATAATTTGCAAATGAAACTAAGTTTAGATAGTATTTTTAATTTTTCAGAGGGACTAAAACAGAAGGAGATTTACCCAAATTCTTGTCCTAGAATTTCAACTAGACAAAGAACCAAGACAATAAAAACTTTGTTTTCAAGTCTATTACTTTACCAACAAACTAAGTTTATACCAGGAATGTCATGATACAATTGAGATCACTGGTAGAATACTGAGACTATAATAGAATGCGGATCGAAAAGATTTAGAATTTTTGAACTTCAAATTCAGCCAAAGGCTTACATTTGGCAAGCAAAATTAAGTGGGGACTCAGGAAAAGAAGAAATTAAATCATTAAAACAAAGCAGCTCCAATAGTAGCAAACTACAATAACAATGATAGAGGCTAATAAAATTTACCAGGCTTTTGCTAACTACTGTCAGACATTGATTTTAGGTATTATCCCCAGAAGGTTCTATCATTATGCTCATTTTACAGATGTCAAAGGGAAGTTAAGGCATTTGCCCAAGTTTACACTATTAAGTGGTAGATTCAAGTTGGAATCCAGGCAGTCTGCATATGCTTGTAACTGCTATACATCTTTTCTCTTTGAAATCCTGTTCTCCACGTTCATATTATAACACAAGAAAGATACAACATAAAGCCAGAGCCAGCCTTAAGCAAACCTGAGAGTCTTCTTTTCAGGGTCCTTCCAACCCACTTTTCAGACATCCCTAGCCAGAAATGCAGGACCTGTATTACTCTTAGGATGATCACAATTTCTACTGTGAAAATGAACTGTTACGTGTTTCCTCTTCTCCGCTCTTACTGTCTTACTCTCATAAAAACAATATTGTACTCTGTCCCACACCCTTAGGGACCTGCTGTTTTTTTGGGGGGGGGGAAAATCCTAATAATTAGTCTATGTTTTGGTATTAAGAGTAGTCAATATGTTAGTGTTGGTGGATAACACATGTGTTTTCTTAAACCAAAAAAAAAAAAAAAACTACAGTAAAAATTTCAGACACTGAAGTAGGCCAATATAAGAGAGGTTTCTGAATAAACATGTGG